GTCCCTCCTAAAGTCCCTAGAGATGCAGCCAGTGGCCTGCCTGGCGTGGCTTTCCAAAGCCATGGCAACAGTAGCACCTTCGTGAGGTCCAGTACTGGGACTTGTTCTCCCTGCGATCAATAAAGACCCTAAACCCTAAACCCTAAACCTTAAAACCCTAAACCTCAAAAAACCGCTAAGCCCTAAAACCTTAAACCCCTTGTGAAATTCGTTGCCCTACACCCAGGGTCCCAGGCATCTTCCTCTCAGGCCGGCCTGGCCGGCCTTCGTTTGAACAGCCATCCCCCCTCAGAAGCCGCAATCTCCTCCAGCCAGGGCCTTGCTCTCTAGAAGCAGGCAGCCTCTGAAGATGCTCTTTGTGAAGATGAGTTTAAGTGCCTTAGCCCTGAAGGGAATGCGTTTGGGTGGCTCGGCTGCCTGGGAAGGCGTGGGCCGGGTGAACGTGTTAGACGGCCAGCCACTTTCGAGCCATGGCAGGCTATCGCACAACAAGCTGCGCTCGAGGTGATGCTGCTGCTTGACCAACCCTGCTTCGGTGCGATATCGCAGCAAGCCCTTAACCATAGGTCGTAAGCGGTGAATGCAAACTTTAAATGCTAAACTCTAACGCCTAAAGCCAGCCAGGAGGAGAAGCCCAAGATGACGGCCCCGAACCGCGAGGAGTTCGACGAGAAGGCGGCAAGGGCTGCAAAGGTGTGACTTGCAGGGTTAAGGAGATTCCGGATTTAAGGCTCAACGTGTAGGTTCGAGCTTTGGATTTAGATTGTTTAGGGTTCGGGTTGAGAGCTTAGTGCTTGAAAGCTGACTTTCTTCATCATTGTTTGTCACATTTATGTATCGGTATCCGCAACTCCATTCTCAGATAGATTCGCCACAACATTATCATTATTGTATGACTACCACAACTGTGTCGAAGGTGTGGTGGTAGGCTGGCGATGCAGGTTTTTGTCAATTTTGCCTATGGCGTTCCTATTACGACGTTATCGCTCTCTACCACTTTGCTTGCTAATTCATTGTCATGACTGTGTCTACTTCTTCTGCCTTAGCTTGTTGTGACTCTGACTGCGCCTGCGGCTGTTACAGCTGCTGCCCTGTTTTATGGGTGTTGCTGTTGCTGCAGCTGTCAGTGTTTTTGTTGCGTTTGTTGCTTGCTTCCTAACCGCGAGGGGATTTGTTTAGAGCGAATGTCAGATTATGTAGAGGTGGTGTGGAAAGGTTGAGTGGAATGGTTGAAGATCATCCGAGCGTGGATGATGATCAGGACAGCAGAAGCGGAAATGACAGCTAAAGGTTTCCTGGTTTAGCATGGAAGAAAGCAGCAGGATCTCGTCACGGAGGGGACAGCTCATCTTATTTTGGGTTACTATGGAATGAGGGAATATAATCAGCATATGAGCTATATAATTCACATAATTAGTCTAAACTCCGTGCAGGGGGTTATATAGGGGATTACCTAGGGGACTACCATGGGGGATATTTAGGGGGATACTAGGGGTTTAGACAATAGCTCATATAAAAGGCAGCCCCAAATTCTCTTAATCGCTTCGCCCATATAATCTCGATTTAACATATTCCCTCATTCCCTACTAACCTCCAGTAAGTGAAGGAATGTAGAGGTTCAGTGTTCATTCCTGGGCCACAAAGCACACCGCCTGGCATCCCTCGACGTGGAACCTCTGCTTGCTTGAAATTAAGGTCGTCTCCCAGTCTCCCAGCCAGAAACCCCTTGACCTCACCCCCCCAACCTTAAAATGCTTGACCTAAACCCTAGTCCCTAACCCTAAACCTTAAACCCTAAACCCTAAAACCTGAACCCCTAAATCCTAGTATCTAAACCATTCTTCCCCAAACCCCCTGAATCCTGAAAGCTCCCTAACCTCGTGGCCTCCGCATGCTGTTATCGTAAACCCCTCAGCGCCAGAGCCTAAACTTATTTCTGGTTAGCAGGGACTGAAGGGATGGAGAAATAAATGGAAACCGTTAGATTTTGGATATTACATGACCTATAGTCTAAACTCCTTAAAGGGGACTACATAGGGGATGATGTAGGGGACTACTATACGGGTTATTAAGGGGGATACTAGGAGTTTAGACTATGGCTTACATAGCAAGGAATAATAGAAGGATCCATTGATTCATTGATTCCTTGCTAGCCAGAGGTAAGTACACCATATTCCGGTACAGATGGGGAAGTCCAAGCCTTAAACACGAAGCCCTCCTTCCTTGACCTTGAACCCTACACCCCAACTTCCTGGCGCAGATTGAGAAGTTCAAGACGGAGATCGACAAACTCCAGGCCAAGCAGAAGGCTCTGTCCGAGAAAATCCAGGACACCTAGCAACCAAGGTTTCAGCATTCAGGGACTGGCTTAAGGCTTAGAGTTTACGGTGCAGGCTTTGGGTCTAGGACCTTTGGTTTAGCATGTCGTGTTTAGGGGTCAGAGTGCAATATTTGGTGCTACTGGGAGGTTTACCAACTAGTCATGTTTGGGGTAATTGTGCCATTAGCAGTCCGTGTAGTTGCAGATGCAATATACCACTAATCTATTCACTATCCAAGTCTGTCGGTGGGTGGGGAGTAGAGCCCAAGTCTGTTGACACAGTTACCACTGAGGCAGTGCCCATGAGACTAAAGGTAAGTAGCAGGATCACGTACGCGCAGGGCTACAAAATTGAAGGGGAGCTAGTTGGTTAGTCCCAGAGACCACCAACTAAGAACTACAGAGACATCCACATCCTAAACCCTAAGCCCCCAAACCCTAAACCCTGACCCTAATCTTTGAAACAAACACCGTGTATTGGTGTATGTGTAAATGCATAGTGGTTCGAGTCAGGGGTTTCAGAGGCCAAGGTTTTCAGGGATGAAATGCGTTAGGATGTAGGATTTATAGGGTTCAGGGTTTAGGGCTCAGAGTTTAGGGTTAGGGTTCAGGGTTTAGCGCTTAGGGTTTAGGATTCAGGGTTTGGGAATGGACTGATTGGAACGCATGTCTAGCAAGTACCGGGTCTAGTCTTGAGTTTTTTTGGCGTAGGTGTCGGGATTTTTGGGGCTTGTCTGGTAGAGTTTATAGGCTTAAGATGTAGTCACGAGTATGAAGGCCAGGAGCTTCATTGAAGCTTGTCTGCGTAACCAAGGAAGGGGTTAATTTGGGGAAATGTGTGTGACAAAGGTTACGTTTGTGCATGACTGTTTGGGAGATATATATATCCTCGGAACTCCAAACATTCCGGCTGGGTAGTTTACGTAGGACTTAGGCAAGGTTACCCGTGTTGGGAACTCCGCACCTGGAAAGTTCCTGACTTAGACTACAAGGTTCCTGAAAATGATTGGCAATTTCTGTTACCGACAATCCTAATATTTAGCTGAAATTATGATTTNNGGGGTTCCAAATCCCTTAGAGAAAACCCTAAACCCTAAACCCAAAACCCATGTGGACTGTAGTTCGGCTTAAAGGAGCGCTCTGGAGGCAAGGAGGAGTTCTACGCCAAGAAGGTGCCGAGGGGTATTGGTTTAGGGATGAGGGCTTAGGTTTCGGGATCAGGGTTTTGGGGCTAAGGTTTCAGGATTAAGGTCTCGGAATTCAGGTTTAGGCATCAGTACTTGCGGATCAAGATCAAGTTTTAGGGTTGTGGCGCTTGGGAAGGGATCAGGAAATTGGTAAAGAATAAGAAGGTATCACAACAACCCACACACACTCCGGAAGGGTGACCGATCCAGCAGATGTCTTCTGATCCCTCCAGATCCGAAGGGGGTCATCCTCAGCGGTTGACCCACTGAGGATAGCCAAAAAGATAAGCCTTGAGATAAGTTCCGACGTCCGGAAAAGTAGCAGTGCTCTGAAATTTGAGTCCTTGGGACATGCCACTGAGCCCTAAACCCTGAACTGATACCAGCTAGAAGGTTCCGGACACAAGGATTGCTACGAAACGGTCATCCACATTGGCGTGTTGTTGTGCAGATTGCAGCTTTATATGGGACATCTCGCGCCAGAAAGGTTCAAGAAGGAGTCCAGTGTTCCTGTCCTGTGGGTATTTCGGAAAACAAGGGGAATTAAGGATCATAGTATATGGGGTTTTCCCAAATTTCATCATTATCTGGGTCCCTATAGATCGGTCCTTATTACAACATGGGTCTCTAAATAGATTTCCCCCACCGTGGGAACAAGTATTCTTATGCCAAGTCCCATCAGGGTGTGTACCTAAGAGGCCCCAGCCCGCCGCAACTAAGCATTCTAGGGTTTTGCAAGATGGCGCAGGGCATTTCCTAAAGGGCCCAATCGCTCCTTATGGGTTGCCTAAGCACCTGCCTGTATACTAGCCCTCAAAGTTCCTCCTGAATCAGGTTTTGCAGATTGAATTGAGTTACCCTAAACCCTAAACCCTAAACCCTAACCCCAAACCCTAGACCCTAACCCTACGGCAACACTAGGGGTGGTAAGGTAACCCATAGCACCTGCGCACGGCTGATGTTTGGTGCCTGGGGGGTTCTGGGCTAAGCGCTTGAACCGGTTTAGGGTTTAGGGTTTAGGGGCGATTTAGGTCTTAGGGCTTATAGTTTGGGACTTGGGGTCTCAGGGAGACTCGGAGCTACGAACTCTCATGCGTTGCGGGTGCCATACGGCACAAGAGCTTTGGATGTGAAACCTGCCAGTAGACTTCCTTACGACCGGTATTCCTTCAAGCCCAACAGCCCAATTTCAGAATTCTCCAAAAGGGCTGCTTCCTAAACCTTGCTTGGGGCTCGAGGGGGCTAAGTAAGTATATTGATAACACCTATATAGCCCTTCTGTAACCCCTCTTATCCCCAAAGTCCCCATGGCTGATCCTCCAAGTGCACCCTCAGCGCCAAGCACCGAAATCCTCAACTCTCTTTCTACACTCCCCCAAACTAACATGGAAACCCATATAGTACCATTTTAAAAGGACTGTAGTTCTTTATAGGGCCCTTTCTTTTTGGGTTTCCATGTTAGCTTCCGGGAATCTAACCTCTATAACCCTGAAAGCACCTCAAGCTCCGGAATACACCCTCCACCCTAAACCACTCCCTAGAGATTCCTACATAACCCCTGTAGCCCCTTAAAGGGGCCCTAAACCTGGCTATCTAGACCCCTGAATCCCTAAACTCTAAACCCTAAACTCCAGTCCCTAAACCTTGATTCCTAAACTCTAATCCCTAAACCCTAAACTATAATCCCTAAGCCCTAATCCCTAAGCCGTAAACCCTAAACTCTAGCCTCTAAACCCTAATCCCTAAACCTTAGCTGCTCCCAAGCTTCAGTAGCAACATATTATATATATATATACACCCTATAATCCCTATAAACCCCAATTTCTTATTCCCATTAGAACCCCCAAAATACTATGTACCTTTATTACCCTATAGAACCCTTATATAACCCTGAGGCTGAGCTTCGGGCTCAGCTTGATGAGCTCTCTGGCAAGATCGATGGGCTGCAGGTTGCCAAGGGAGGGAACGGGGCGTTTAGGATTTTGGGTGTAGGGCTTAAGAGGGTTTAGGGAGGGAGGGAGGGATGGAGGGAGGGGTTGGCAATAACGGATTCAGGGTTTGAGGTGAAGATAGGGCTGTGCAGGCTTCGTGTTCAGGTCTTAAGTTTGGGTGAGAAGCACTGAGGGGGTTGCAGTTCACCGATTTCTGGTCCAGCATGTAGGGTCCAGATCAGAAACATCTTGAAAAATCTGTCTTTCATCATTGGTTCCCCTGCTACCCCTCCGTATGCCACCCCCCTAGGTTGCCTGAATGGAGCCCGAATTTTCTACAAATGGCTTCAAACCAGGTCCTTCAACCTAGCTCCTAAACTTCTTGAGCAATCATGGGTCCCCCTACTTCCCCCCTATGCTACCCCCTAGGCTCTTCGGTTTATTGACCGGGCTCACTTCCAGGCGCGGAAGGACGAGATCAACCGTGCGGTGGGCAGCAAGCGTGATGAGGAGCCCAAGGTTTAGGGTTTGTCCTACAGTCTCTTCAGGAAACATGTTAATTGTAACATTGTGTTTTTGGTTTGAGGGTTAATATAGTATAGCCCCAAAAAATTTTCAGAAGTCGTAGTTTTACTCATCATAGGTCTAGGGGGAGTACAGTGTGTTTGCGTGTTAAAAGTTAAAACCACGAGGTTTAAACAGAGGTTCAGAGTCTCGGCTCGAAAGGGGTAGGAGTACCTCATATGGGCCTCATATGTCCGTCTACGCACACACGCACATATATATATATATATACATATGAGTAAATGTATATATGTATTTATATATGTATGTAGGTAGGTATGCATGCATGCATGCATGCTTGCATGCACGTACGCATGTACGTATACATGTACATATATGAGGTAGGGCTTAGGGTTTTGGGTTGTGCTGAGTGTATATGGGATTGCATAGGATTATGTGGGAGTGTATGTGCTGGGTGTTGATTTTGGGAGACGGTGGATAAAGCCCATGGATCCTATATGTCTAAGCCCAAATCCCTAGACCTTAATCCCTGAACCCTGATCCCTAAAGCCTAACACTTGCTCCCTCAGTACACCTTGATCCCTAACTCCTAACCCACCTCCATTTCAATGATGCTCCGAATGGGTTCATGGTGTGCGGTGTGGGGTTCAGGGTTTAGGGCTCATATTCTCTTTCAATCTGTGGCACTGCTCTGCCTCGCACGATCAATCAGTGATGTCTCGCACCATCTTTGGCTACCATGGGCAAGTTGAACATGAGTAATACGAGTATCTGGTAACCCGCTCCTAAATGGGGATTGGGACATATTGAACCCGCTCCTAAATGGGGAGTGGGACATGTTGGGACCCGACTTGTAGTCTATCATAGTTACAGGGTCATTGTTAAGGTCATTCATCAAGGGGTGGAGGCCTGGCATTTTCCTTATCTCAAAGAACCGCGGATTCCTGCGTATACTTTTGGTTTTTCGGAGGGGTGTGATAAGAGGCAGTTGGAATGAGGGTGAATAAGTAGATAGGTTAGCAGTCAATGGGGATACCTTTATTCAGGAAATGGAGGGATGGATCTTCCCATAGTAGGCCTTAAAGAACCCCGTATGGTAGTTCCCAAATCCCAGTCCTGCATTCTCTCCTGACCTTAGACCCTCAGTTGAGTAGTATTTTATTTGGGGATACTATAGTACCCAATTAGGTTAAGATTATATCCTCCTTTTGGGGTATAGTATTTCATATAAGGAATATAATCTTACTAGGTTCAACCACCAAAAAAATACTACTCAGTTGCCATTGATATGTCCATTCCTTCATTCCATGCTCACCACCAGCTACGAAACACCAAGGCCCGTACCCCTTAACTTTGACCCCTCCCAAAGCCTACTAACCACCCTAAACCCCGCCGTTGATGTATTAGAAATCGTTTTAGTTTAGTACAATGCCATTCTTTTCGAAGGTGTTTAGGGTCATGCCGGATTTTTAGTATCCACCCTGAAAACCCTACACCCTAAACCTTAAATCCTACATCCTAAACACCTAAATCCTATTCCCTTAACCATAAATCCTACATCCTAAACCCCTAAATCCTATTCCCTTAACCATAAATCCTACATCCCAAACCCCTAAATCCTATTCCCTTAACCATAAATCCTACATCCTAAACCCCTAAATCCTATTCCCTTAGCCATAAATCCTACATCCCAAACCCCTAAATCCTATTCCCTTAACCATAAATCCTACATCCTAAACCCTAAANNCTAAACCTTAAACCCTAATATGATTCCCTAGCAGAGCCCTGAGCTAGAGGAGCGCGAGAAGCGCTCGCAGCTGAACACGATGAAGACACTGGGAAGCCATGGGCTCTTAGTATCCCCAATAAATGGAAGGGGCTTAGGGTTTAGGGCTTA